TTGGGATAATACCCTCACAAAGTCGCTGGGCTTCGCACGGCCCCTCAAAGTGAGGACACCGTGAACCTGCCGGTTGGGGAGGTGAGAGAGGTTGCTAAACTCTCCCACCCCCCTCCAATCCTACCTCGGCGCTGCACCAGCGCCCGGGCGTAGATGGCGTGGCCCAGAACAGCCACCCCCCCTGCCTCTTCTTCTCGCCAGAGCGGAGGTAGACCCCCCTCGCCCCGCCTCTCTCTCTCGGCCACCTCCTTCCGAGACATGACTGTCTCACAGAAGGAAGAGACCGCCTCCTAGACACCCTCCCCCTCCAACATTCCCCTAACAAGGGAAGGGAGAGAGAGGTTTTCGCCAGCCACTTCGACCAGGATCCGACGCTCTCCAGCTTACGCCGGGCAGACCCCGATCGTGTGCTGCGCCGAATCCCGGTCGGCCGCACAGTGGTGGCACCGCGTGGTGCGCTCCTTCTCTATCCGGCACAGGTACCCAGACAGCACAAACATATTTTTACAATATTCTAAGAATATCTTAGCCATATATTTGGTATATGCTAAAGATATTTGAATAATATTCTAGCATATTCTGAAAATATGCTGAGGATATTCAAATGTCCGCTTCTTTCTTATACTGACAATATTTTCAAGATATTCGAAGTGATATTCTCAAGATATTTTTAGAATATTTTAAGATATTGGGGAGGATATGGTTAGGATATTACTGGAATATGACGAACTAAGCACATATATACATTATACCTTTATGGAAGAATGCTATTGAGAGAAAAAAATACTATTCAAAAATTGTCAATAGTTTTTTTTATTTTATTGATACATATAAAATATCAACATAATATAACGTTAGTAATAAAATATATTTTATTATATATGAGATCCATATTTGAAAAGTAAAATTTAAAAAAAAGTAATATATATTATATAAATATAAAAATAAAATTAAAAATAATATATATGAAAATAGAATTTAAATCTTTATACGCTCTTTTGCATGTGCGAGTCACACTTTGGCCGGCTTAGCAAAATCGTCTTCTGTACAGGCAGGAAATCTTTTTCTGATGGTATCTGTAATACAAAATGTTTTATATATAAAAGAACATTATTTTTTAATTTGTATATTTATGTAACAAACAACTTTTTCCTGTAACAAAAATATCGCCCTGTTCCGCAGAGCGAGATATTCAACGTTGAAGTCACGACTTTTCAGGTTAGAAAAACTCATACGGACGAAGGGTGCGTTCAGTTAATTTAAAATTGAATAATTTCAGCAAACAAATATTTTCTGCTTTAATAAAAACACATTCTCTGCTATAATTTAAGTTTTATAAGAATTTGTGTTTTTATTAAAGCAGAAAATATTTGTCTTTTTAAATTATTCTGTTTTAAATTTCAGGAATTTATTGATAATTTTTAAAAATATAAATTAGATTAGATTTGTATTTTGATTAAAGCAGAAAATATTTGTTTGCTGGAATTATTCTGTTTTAAATTTTAGACGAGTAAGCGTTCAAAATAAACACATATCTTTTGTCCGTATGACAGTTTTTCTAACCGGAAAGTGGTCAACTTTAATGATGAATATGTAGGCTCTTTACTATATTATTTATTTAATATTGGTCAGGATCCGTAGAAATTATAATAATTGTAACTCACGAGTAAGGAAAAGTATATTAACTAATTTATTATGCGAGTACTAGATATATATTAAATAGTTAAAATAGATCGAATAATAATAATTGTATGATCTTTTCCTTTTCTTTCGTTTTTATAAATTACAAGTAAAAAATCACCTGTCTTTCGGCTACAGTCTCAATGTCTTTCTCACTTCACTTTTTCAGCAAAACTCGTCCACTCTTTCTCTTGTCTTTTGGCCACCAAGAAAATGCCCCGAGTCCTCACCTCGCTCTGCTTTTGTTCTCTCCTCAAGGAAGGTTCTCGAAATCCCCTTCCTCGATTCGTCCAATCAAATATTGCCAACGCTCGTAAATTGCTCAGAGCCCTCTTATTCGCAAAATATTTCTATTTCTATTATTTTATCAATACCGAATTATCGACAGTGGATTTTTACAATTACCACCTGAGTTTCTTACAAATATCTCGCTTCGCGAGGCAGAGCGACACTTTTGTCAGAGAGAAAAGATTTTTGTCACACAAAAACGCTTCGAATAAGACTAGTTGGATCAAAATCAGAGGTGAGGTAGCGATACTGAACAATTACCCATGTTTTAACAAAAACAATATTTTGAGGTTAACTTACCACTTATTGACGTAGCCTCGCCGGTCTTAAAATTTTTGATCACTTTTTGTCACTGATCTTTCCTGCGTGTAAAGAATAATAAAATTCAAATCATTTTTTATCTCTTATACATATCTATTTCTATATGTCTTACATACTTTTTCCTTTCACACGTCTACGTCGCACGTGGTCAGTGGTCACACGGTTTGTCACGGTTTGCCGCGTTTTCGATTGTGAACGGCCGTATAACATATATAAAGGCCATTACACATGTTAGTCGTAACCAATAAGAGAGTCGTAAGCAAATCGACCAATCACAGTTAAGGCTATCGCGCACAAAATGACATAATTGCATATGCCATATATCTATTATAACTTTCAAGCCTCATAACTTAGAAAATATTTAATGGAAAGGAACTTATATCGTTTTGAAAAGCTCTCGACGTCAGCTATAAGAATAAGCAATCAAAAGTAAAAGTTCTCATTTAAAAAATTCAAGTGACCTTATGATGTAATTTCTCAAGATTATTAAAATCAATATCACCACATGATGGGTATAACTTAATACACTGCAATTTTTTTATTAAACATTTTTTTTTTCAAATGCCTTATTTTCAAAATATTTTACTGGTCTGATTGCTCCACTCTGTATAAAAGTGGGTATATATATTTTCATGCGAATATCTGTAAGACATTTTGATAATATTTCACATAAAATATTATTTTTAAGATATTCCAGGGATATCCAAAAAATATATGGAACAAAATATTATTTTCCGGATATTCGCGTGACATATTTTGAGGATATGCCATATATTTTTTTAACATCGTAGATTGTTCAAATATTTAAATGATATCATGTGCTGTCTGGGTAGTCACCGAAGCAACCATGCCCGGTGAAAACCTGCGCCATCCTGAAGGAAACACCTCCTCTCCTCCTACCTACCTACCCACTCCCGTAGGCAGGGCTGGATGGCTTCGACAGTCCTTATTCCAGGTAGACCCGGAGTGTTGTGTTCGCCCAGCCGGCACTGCCACTTTCTGAGCGCCCACTTCCGGGCCCTGGTCTTTTTCTTTGCCACTTCCCTAGGGATGTTATCGGGGGAAATTCCGCTCCGCTCGACCTTCCTCGCGCACCGATAGGCTTTGGCACGCGAAGCAGCGACGAGGTCGAACGGGAGCACCCCTGCCAGGGTCGTGGCCGCCACATACGACACCGTCCGATAGCAACGGGCGACTCTGATGGCCATGCGCCTATCCTTTTGACCAGGGCAAAGGCGCGTTTGTTGGCCACCAGGTCGCCCGCCCAAATCGGTGCCCTATAAAGTGACACCGACCGGACGGCGTTCGTATACAAGTGCCTGATTTTGGCACTTGGACCGCCGAGGTTGGGCAGGAGGCGACACAACGCGTTTGCCATCCTG